AAAAAAAAAAAAAAAAAGAAAAGAATGAAAAGTGTTCCATTAACATTTTTATCGATTACAAGTTGAAATAATATTTTAGATATACTATATTAAATAAAATACATTAAAAAATTAAATTAATTAATATTAGTAAAATTTAATATCACATATATGGCTTACATTTATGGTCCCTATTATATTTGTCTTGGACAACACTGTTGTAGATTATTTCATTTTGTGTAGATTATAATTATGTCTAGCTCAGCAGAGCCAACTCTATAGTTTCACTAGACTAGAAAACCAGTGTAGCAATGGGTGAAAGTTTGTATTTGGGAAGAAAATCCTTCCCTTTGTTGCTTCTTGTCCAGTCCCTCAAATTCTCTAAATATGGTGCCATATGCCTCAGGCTGGTATATTTTTATTAAACTATCTATTATTTTATAATTTCACCTAAAGTAATGAGAACAAATTCGAAAATAAGATATAAGAAAAACTGTTACTGCTTGCACGCTTGATTTTTACCAAGAATGAAAATTGACCTTTTTCACATTATTCATGGAAGTTACCATTAAGTTTTAGTCATCTTATATTACATAATGGCAGAGATTTAAAATTTTATTTTCTTAGCATGATAGGCTCATTAAGGTTTTGAAACAAAAATAGTTTACCATGTGTTTTCTAAAGTTGGAGCTCTGTATCTTCTGAGATGTTTGTGGTTTGTTTCTTCAGGTAAAGCAGAAAGCAGCTGGCTTAATGGAAATGACATCTTTCCTCCGGAAGAGAGTTGAAGAGGATGAAAGTGTTCAACAGGAGATTGAGAAAGTGTACCGTGAACTCATCCTGTAATTTGACCCTTTCTTTCATGTTCACCTATTCAAAGTCTAAGCTCAGGCTGAGGTTGTGTTATCCCTGGGGTGAGAGGGGAAGGGTCCAGGTTGCCTGTTGACTGTTTCGCAGCTGGCGCAGACTTTCCTATCTTGATCCCTGCATTGTGCTTTAAAATAATTTATTTTTTTTAAGTGCATTTTGTTACAGAAGACCTTGATTCAGGATGGAACTTCCCTACAGTTTCCATTGGTTTTATGACAAATAAACAAGTTATGGAAAATTTTTAGTTTTGGGGGGAGTGTAAAATTTTAGTATTTTTTAATCTGCCCCTTCCATGTGAAAATACGAAGAATCTGTTTCTGCCAAATCAGCTTTGGGGCTGAAGCTATCTAAGCTACCAATATGGAAAATTAAGCAGATGTCCAAGAACTTGCCATGTAGACACTTAGCCAACTAATATCTTTTCCTTTAGGGGAGCTTGTGGTTTTTTACTGAGTGATTGGGATACTCTTTTAAGTCCTTGCTTCCCTTTTTGGCCATATTTACAGCCACATTGACAAATACATCTCTATTGTTCCCAAATTAATTGCTATATATCACTTTTAGATCTAGGCTGTAGGGAGGAATATGAGTTGCCCAGAAACAGAGTTGATAAATAGCATACCTACTAAATATTATTAATGTAATATCAGAAATCAAGAGTCAAAACTTGAATACATTTTTATCTAGTAACATCTAAATTTCCTTCATTTTAACTTTTACTCTACTTTTATTACAATCAAAATTATACTATCTTTTCTTAATCCTAAAGAAAATTGTATAAAGGTATTTCTGTCCATACCATTCTTTGAGCAACTCAAGTGTAATTCCACGTCACTAGGGTGATGTTTCAGAAAGACCTCTAGGAAAGCTCATTATTAAGAAAATATTCTCCACATTAGTCTCCAGCATGTTTTCCATAAGCTGATTTGAATTTTATATTCTCAGATAACAGGTGAAATTTGAAATATAAACATATTACAACCACTTGCTTTGAAATCTTTTTGACTTTAGATTACAGGAAGAGAAAGTGAGATTCCAGTTGAATTTGACAATCCAAATTCTTCTTAAACAAGGACAAATAGAACTGGACAATTTCCAGTTAATACTGGACTATCCTGATGCAATTCTCATCAACAAGACCATAATTGAAGACCTGAATTCTGTGATTCGGGTAATTATACTTTTTAAAAGAGAAAATGAGAAGGGAGGGGGGAATGGGTGGAGGGAGGGAGTTTGGAGGGATCACTTCTGAGGTTTACCTTATAGGGGTACAGGTGAATCTTTCTAAGAGTAGAATGTGAATGTTTTAAAGCAATAACTGAGAAAATGACATGAAGGCTGTGTTGACCAGTTGATGGAAGTATTTCAGATTGCATGTGAAAACCCCACACTGTACCCTAGAAGTGCATTAATGTACATAGTTACCGTTCAAAAAAAAAAAAAAAAAAAAAAAGAGAAAATGACAGTAGACTTCTAGTACTATGTTAAACAGAAGTGGTGACAATGGGCATCCTTGTCTTGCTCTGGTTCTTAGGGGGAATGTTTTCATCTTTTCCTCATTCAGTATCAAGTTGGTTGTGGGTTTGTCATATATGGCTTTTATTATTTTGGGATATGTTCCTTTTATGACTAGTTTGTCAAAGGTTTTTATCATGTAGAGTGCTGAATTTTATTGAATGCTTTTTCTGCAGCTATTAAGATGATCAGATGCTCTTTTTTTGCTTTTCCACTGGCTATCAACCAGATAGCCTAGCTGGATTAAACTACAATCCTTTATTCATAGCATCAGGTGGGAGGGCAATGAGCAGGGTCACAAAAATGCACACAGATCAGTAGACTAGGCGATGGCAAAAGAATTTCCCACCTAATAATTGACGTATAAAGTAAATTGGCTCTGCCATTTAAATGTACCTTATAATCCCTTCTGTTTCATGACTATCATGCTTTACAGTGGTCAGATTTTGCTCAAGAAGTTGTTTTTTAATATCTGCTGCATTTTTAAAAGAAAATTGAATTCTCTGTGATCCAATTGTTTTATAAAAATAGGATTCAGCCTGAAATAGTCTAGATCCTGTATGCAGAATCATATTATATGAATATTGAATGCACTTTTTTTAAGACTCAAGGACAAAAGAAGGTTGCTAGCATGATGGAAAGTAAAGAAGTACACAAAGGAATATTTCAGATTGAATGGGAGCATAAGAAAATGGAGATGGAAATGGAAGATCTAAATCAAAAGGCTTGGGATATTCAGATGTTGTTTTTCTCAAGAGATCGTCAAAAGGTAAGTTCTTCCTGACCCCTCCATAGTTTTAATTTTATTCGTTAATGTATTCATTCATTTGACCAGTATTTAATAAGAAGCCTCTGTGATGTCAAGCGTATTCTCAGCCAGGAGTGAGAATAATATGTGTTTCCTAATGTGTCTATGAACTCTGTCCTTTTCTACCAGTTGTTACATTTGCTACCGTCACTTCTTCATGACCCATTTAGTAGAATAATTCCAGTTACAGTTCACTGAGGGTTTCCTAGTTGTCAAATCCCATGCTCAGATTTTCCTAGTCATTATCATCCTTCAACCCTAACATTTAACCATCTTGATTTCTCATTCCTCTGGCTTTTGTCACCTCTGATTAATTTTATTTCCAACACATCAGACCACTCTGCCTCCTCTACTGGATTGTCTCTTTCCCTTAACTCTTCAATTCAATACAGCCTTCTTCCAAGATTCCACCCCAGCATGTCTGTTTCTTTCCATGCCTCTAGCCCTTGGTGGTCTCCTCTAGAGACTACTCCAACTCTGAATTCCAAGCCAAGCTCCATTTCTATATTTCCCACCTCTAAAGAGCTCCTCTTGTAACATGTTTATTTCTGTTCTTTTCAGCCACTTGCTCAGGCTTGCAGTGATAGTTATCTTTGGTTCCCTTCTTTCCCATGCCTTCCAAGTCTTGCCTAGTTTATGTATTCATTCCCTCATTCTCTATCCCCACTGCCCTGGTCTCAGGTCAGTCCTTCATTTTCAATGGTTAGGCAATCTTATAATTAATCCCTGATTTCTTGACCCTGGATCTTTCTCTTATCTAACCTACACTGTATACTGCTGTTGGATCAGTATTCCTATTCAACTCTAATGACATTACTACCCTGCTCAAACAATTTAAAATGCTACTTATCTAGCAAATGAATTGTGAAATCATGAGGGCAGTGTCTTTCAACTTAACTTTTCAAACTCATTTCTCACTGTTCCTCTTATATTAAAACATTAGTATTCTTACACCAAACCTATACTATTTTCTAGGATTCTACCTCTATACTTTCATTTATATGGATTCTTCTATCTGAAATGTCTTTCCTAATTTTTGTTTTGCACACCCCAAATCTATCCAGTTTTCAGGTCTAGATTAAAAAGTTGTCCCTTTCATAAGACCTTTATTCTTCAAGTCTGGCAGAATTCCATCCCATTACAAACCAGAATTTGCATGACCCACCTGTGAATTTGCTTGACCCTTTACATATCTTCTGGCAATCATTCATAACTAAGTGTACCTTTTCCTTGAAGGCTGTCATATTATCTATTTTTGTATCTTCCTCAATGTCTTTAAATGGGATACTGTTAATGTGGGACTCAGTGGAACATTTAACAAACATTTGGTGAGACGCATAAATGATGAATGAATGAAAAAGTAAATCCCAGACATTTGTAATAGTGTATGGAGTGTAATAATTAGTGTACAAGAGTGTACTAATGACTAAAGGAAATATTATTAGCACAAAAGTCAAATCACTCTTACGTGGATATTTGTTATGAAACTTCACATAGTAACTTTCAAAACTAAAAACAAGCTTTTCAAGTTATCTAGTGAAAGAGAAAAATATCCTTAACATGTACTGTGGGTTTTTTTGTTTCAAAGTACCTAAATGAACCCAACTATGACAGTCTGATTAATCTTCAAATTGGAATAATGGAGCAAACCATTGCTGTTTTAGATAAGGTAAGTCTCAAAGAAAATGATCATTATAATCTCAAAGCTGTGAATCACTTGAGCAAAGTAATAGTGTTTCAAATCACGAATTCAGAGCCTAACAAAATCTTGGTCATTTGCTATAATAGTATTCATGAAGTATGAGAGATCCTTGAATAGAGTTTTTGCATCTATAACCAGTAGAATAGACTAAAGTGCTTTTTTTAGTATTAGAATTAACCCCTTGGGGCATATTTTCTATTTCATATTGGTTTATGATCTATGTAATAGAAGTATTGATAGTCTTTCCTTGGCATTGTAAAGGCTTTATCATAACTGAATAACAAGTGCTCAGATTTCACTATATAGCATATATACAACAGAAACAAAGTAATCTCAAGTTTTTAAAATATTCTCTCATTTTTAAGAATATAAAATTTTTTTCTCAAATGTGGTATTAAGATCCCATTCTGTTTTCAACAATGAATGTTGAGTGCCTACTATGGATAGCTAGTATGTAAGGCACTTAGGGGGATAAGATGTTATCTTATGATGGTAATGTTATTTAAAATATAAGAATAATGTCTTTATGAAATAAATTTTTTCAAAATTAATTTTGTGCAACATCATGGGAACAAAATTTCAGACCCACAAAAAGAATGTGGAAAACTGCAAAAAAATACTCAAAAAACTGGGAAAGTTCAGCAATCAAAAAGATGTAGCAAATTATACTCTAAGCTGCAATCTACGAGAAGAATTGGTATCTATATCAGAGAGAAAAGACATCTGTAATGCAATGGGTAAGCATTATTTTTCTTTAATCAAGTATAGGTTTCTTTAAAAGTAATCAGTATCCTGAAATCTGTGCAATAGTTATAAAGCTTCCAGTATTTCTTCCATGTCTAATTAATTCAGAATACTGTTTTTTTGTGTTTGGAAGTATTGATAATCAGCTAATTCCTTTCTTCTCCAATTTTGGGATAGGGTCTCGTTTGACTTGTGAAAAGATTGCCAAAGAACGATATGAAAACATGATGCAACAACAGAAGTTAATGCATATTTCAAAACAACAAGCTGAACAGATTTCAATACTACAGGCTGAAGTAGAAAGATTAAGGATGAAAACATTTCCTGCTCTTGCTCAGATGTAATAACGCTTCCAGAAAAATACAAGGCCAAATTAGTCATCTTAAAAATCGTTTCATTGGGGTAAAATGATTTATTTTACTTTCATACTAGAAAATTTACTAAGTAGAATCTCCTCTTAGATGCATGTTTTTAATAGCAAATTGTTTAATTTTATCCTTGATGAAAATACACATTTTTGTCCTGCATGAATAAATGTGTAAAATATCATGAATTGTTTTTATTCAAGAATGAACAAGATGGGCAGCGCTGTGGCTCAGCGAGTCGGGCGCCGGCTCCATATACCCAGGGTGGCAGGTTCAAACCCAGCCCCGGCCAAACTGCAACAAAAAAATAGCTGGGTGTCGTGGCGGGCACCTATAGTCCCAGCTACTCGGGAGGCGGAGGCAAGAGAATTGCCTAAGCCCAGAGGTTGCTGTGAGCTGTGACTTCATGGCACTCTAATAAGCGCAACAAAGTGAGACTCTACCTCTAAAAAAAGAAAAAAAAGAATGAACAAGATTTTAAGTCAGAAAGTAGTCAAGATCTTTTTATTCATTTAACCTTGTTTCAAAGATCTTTTCACAGTCATGGTATAGAAAATCTTAGTTTTTTAGCTTATTTTATTTTTTTCCTTTTTAAAAATTGTTTGGGATTCATTAAGGGTACAAAGAACTAGGTTACACTGATTGCATTTGTTAGGTAAAGTCCCTCTTATAATTATGACCCGCCCTCAAGAGGTGTGCCATCCACCAGGACCCCCAATTCCCTCCCTGCTCCCGCATTCCCCCACCCTCGACCTTGTATTAGATCATCTATTGCCTTCATATTAGAATTGAGTACATTGGATTCTGAAAATCTTCTTTAATTATTTTTAGGAGACAAAGTCTCGCTGTCACCCAGGCTGCAAGTGCTGTGGCATGATCATAGCTCACTGTAACCTCAAACTCCTGGGCTCAAGCAATACTCCTGCCTCAGCCTCCTGAGAAGCTGAGAATATATACAATTGCACACCACTACACTCAGATAATTTTATTTTTTGTATAGATACGGTTATTGCCCAATCTGAAGTCCCAAAGTACTAGGATTATAGGCTAGAAAGTCTTAAAGATTAAAAAAAAAAAAAAATACTTACCCACTGCTAGTATTTCTAATTTATAAAATGATGTGAAAACCTATGAGGTTATGGATGATTTTCATCTTTATGCTTTTCTGTATTTCCCAAGTTTTCTTCAGTAAGCATTTCTTCTGTAATCAGAAAAAAATTACCAGAATATTTAAGATTATTCCCTGTTCTATCAATGAGAACAAGGTTGTTTCCTTTTTTCCAAGCTCTACATCATTTGTAAATCACAAATATTTTGTTTTTAAAAACATAATCATCTACATTTCTTCGGTGTAGCAGAATTCACTTTGGTGCTCTACCCAACAGGGTTTAGCAAACCAAAAAAAAGTGCTTTCTCATGTCCATGAAATAGTTTATTGCTTTGCTCATGTAGATGATAACAACTACGTAGTAAGAAGAGTTAACGGGCCAGAAAATTGCTTCACACTTCCTTAGCCTGTGGACTGCTCTATCATTGGGATCACTGACCACAATTTCTAAGTGATGTCAATGTCTCACTGTTCTGTAATTTATGAACTAAACATCAAGTTTAATCTGCAATAACATATATAAAACAAAAAAACTATTATAAAATCTTTATTTAGAAAAAAATCTTAAATTTATTGATCATTTACATAAAACATAAGAATTATAAAATCTATATTTAGAAAAAAATCTTTAAATTTATTTATCATTTACATAGTGATCAGCGCTGGATGAAGGTGGTAAGAAACATGATAGGACCAACATCATTTTGATGACTCATTTCCTTAGTGTTAGAATGACTCAAGTAGTCATTTTGTCTGATTCAGCATGGAAATACCCACTGGTAACATTTCCTATATCCAAGGTCCTTCAAAGTTATCCCTGAAAAAGGGATTTGGGGAGAAGAGGCAATAAATCTGAGGGTGAGGGAGTATGTGTGGGGTGCAAATACCTTACCCTTCAGATAGGATTGCCAACTATATATATTTTTTCTTTCTTTTCTGGTGATACAAATTCCATGTCACCTAAGTTAACTGCCCAGAGATTCCATCTGCTAACAGCCAATGCCACAAATTTCCTTAGCTAATACTGTGTGGATTCCTAGGTTTTAACAAACCAAACATTCTCCATCATTTCTATTTCCTAATTATCAGCCCTGGGTGACACTGGCAATGCTCCTTGATTGCTTCAGCCTTGAGGCATGTGAGGCAGGATTTAATGAGCCTCTTGTTCTCAAGCTGTATTCCAGTAGAAGCCTTTTCAGTTGTCATTGTTGTTTAGCTGGCCCAGGCTGGGTTCAAACCCGCCAGCCAGCACCCTACCCACTGAGATACAGGGGCTGCCCGTAGAAGCATTTTTTTTTTTTGCAGTTTTTGGCCTGGGATGTGCTTGAACTGGCCACCTCGGGCAGATAGAGCCAGCACCTTACTCCTTTGAGCCACAGGTGCCACCCCTAAAGAAGCATTTTCAACAGGAGGTAACTTCTGGTTTAAGGGGTTGGCAGGTGCTTTGGAAGGGCACATGGGACATGCAACCCAAATCCCCTCTAAACATTGTTCACTGTATAGACTCCTCTTAGCTTCTGCTGAACTACCAGGAATTATATTCCTATTTTATAGTTCTGTGAAATATTATATATAGTATCAACTAGTGATATAACTGATCAGGTCAAATATAGCATGGCCAGAATTAAGAATATGGGCTCTGTTGCTGAGCTGCTTGGGTTCAAATCCTGGCTTTGCCACTTAAGTTTTAAATAACCACTTAATTTTTAAATAATTTAAAATTTCTCATCTTTTTCATACTGGATGTTGATCACTGTAACACTTCAATTAATATACTTTTAAAATTGGCAAGTACTGTTATTAGCTTTTTTTTTTAAATGAAAACATGGTATCCAGTTATTAAAGCACCCCATTAAATGGAGGTGAAATTCAACAGAAGTGACAAAACAGACCACCCCATGGGCATCACTAGACCCCAAACAGTCCCACAAAACCATCCCTCCCCATGATCCACCTCCTGTGCAGTGTTCTTTGGAACATCAGAAGCCAGCCAGTACCTTGGAAACCACATCACCAGGACCCCAGCTATCCCAGAACAAGATTTTCACTGATGCTTTAGCTCCCCAAAGTGGACAGACATGGTGACAAGTGTAAAGGTGACCCAGGGAATGTGGCTGTCAGCAGTGGGATGCTGTAGCCTCCAAGTTCTAGATTTAAGTACCTAAGGTGTACCTACCAGATGCCAGCATCACAAGAGGCAACACTTCCTCTGCCACATTTAAGCCACTGGCTGGCAGCATGCAGTGGTGAAGATTGGCTGGTAGGCACTAGAATAACCTAACAGTGCCCATCTAAGAACTCCAGGGCCAGCGGAGGCCGTGTGAGGCCTGGGCCAGTTTTCTCAGGTTCATAAAAGCCAGTGGTAGTGTCCAGAAACAGGGATTTATATATATGGGTTGAGATATGAGTTTATGGTATAGCACTCACAAAGGGATGCAAGAGCAGGGCCCTAAGTCTGCTTTAAAGATTTGTTAAATTATGAGAGACTGGGCTGCAAGTGAGGTGCACTTAAGGGAAGAGTTCAGAGTAGTGGTTATTTACCAGCTAGTAGTGAAGCTTTTTTTTTTTTTAATGCTAAATACAGCTGTCCTAAACCTTTAAAAGGACTCAAAAGCAGAAATCCAGAAAGCCCTCAGGTAAGACTGGCAACTAGGACCAGAAAGCCACTGACCCACAAAGTTTTCCCTGCATCTATCATCTCTTACTCTGTAAGTGCACAGTCCTTCCTAAGCACACCAGCTGTTCTACTTCCACGTCTACACAAAGCAGCACCAGCCACAAAAAGAGATGAGCTGGCTTTTCCTGAGCTCATTTCCAAATTCCCAGGGACTGGCCAGCTTGGATCCTACCTCCACATACAGCCAAGACAACAGGTACAGCTTGGTAACAGAAACCCAACCCTGTAAAGGTGAGTTTCTGGCTGAGGGGTGACTGTGACTTGAACAGACACTTGAAGTTTCACCTTACAGATGAATGTGAAGGACCTTATGTGCCATAGTACCTTAATGTGAGAGATGAGGAAATGTAGACTTTTAAGAAGTAGATGGCCATTTCACTAAATGAGGATATAAGAAACAAATGTGAAGAGAGGAAAGAATGCAATTTTAGACATGAATTTAATTACTTGCTGGATCATCAGACGGAAGTATGTAGTAAGATGGAAAAGAGGTTCATCAGCTTAGCAGAGGCAGGCATTCTGGCCCAGTTTAGGTTCAGACATCCACCTCACTGGACAATTTTTTAACACTTAATATTTTGCCATTAAAATTGTATTAAAATTGTCCAAATTACATTTTAAACATTTTTTTTTCACATTACTTTAAATGGCAAGTTTTCTTTGGCAAATCTATCCAAAATATTTTCATTTTAGAACTTCATCAGGATACCTTTCCTTTAAATTGTGTCAGTATCTTCTAATTAAGTTGTCATTCTCAAAGATATTTTGGAGGAAAAAAATTAATAGGGGCAGCACCTGTGGCTCAAAGGAGTAGGGCACTGGCCCAATATGTCAGAGGTGTGGGTTCAAACCCAGCCCCAGCCAAAAACTGCAAAAAAAAAAAAAAAAATTATTAAATACCTACAAATTCTTCTTCACTTCTATTATAGTGTAACAATTTATCATCTAACCCATAATGGTCTATCAATTGAGTAAGGCTTAGTTTCTTGCTCTCTTGAGACATAGCTGACTGCAACTCGTGAAGCAACAGCTGGCTACAGCTTCTCCACTTCTTTATTAACAACTGTAACTGAGACAGGTCATTCT